TCTCTCTCTCTCTCTCTCTCTCTCTCTTTCTCTCTTTCTTTTGCTCTCTTCATTGTCATTTCTTCCTTCGAGCATACTTCGCTTCGCAACTAACGATCATCCCCGCTTTCGTTTATCTCTTCTCTTCGATTCCGTTTCAGTTCTCCCGCATTTTGTCCTAGCTCGATCCACAGCGACGCGGACAGACCCGCCTGTCCGCGGTCGCTGGTTCGCGAGAGATCCGCAGATCAAAATATAAGAACGATCGGCGACGAACCGATCGTGGAGAGTTGTTCTCGAGCGAAGAATCAGAACGGTTGAGCTGGACGCGAGAGTCCTGGTGAGCTGTGAGATAGAGGAGCCTACCTTTGCCCCGTCTTTCTCTCCAACCTTCGATCTTCTCCGATCCCTCGTCCGTTTTCTAATCTTCGTCGAAGCTGCTCGCGTCGCGTACACGGGAACCGTTAACACGTACAGAGTCTCGATCCCGGCATCCGCTGCTAACGTCTCTCACCCCTAACTTCTCCGTAGTCTTCCCATTAAAACGCGTCCTGTCTCGCGAAGGTGGAGGAGGTGGATCTCAGGCGAACCCGACTTGATCGCGTTACGATTCCGCTCGCGTTGGATCTCTGTCTCTCCGTCTTTGCCTCTCGCTGTCTATCTCTGTCTCTATCGCGCCTGCCGCTCGATTAACGAACCCGGTACCAACCGTCGCAGACGCGAGGAGAATCCGGCTTCCGGTTTCCAAGGATCCGCCGCGTTCCCCGTACGCCGCCGGCACGGTACCATCGCGGCCGGCCGACTAACAAAACCGAGACGAACCGCGAAACGAAACGATCCTCCAAGAGACGCGCCGGTGGTTCGCTGATCAGCCGAATGATGAACCGTGTCCCCTATTGTTTCGTGTTGCAGACGTGTCACCGCATCTGATCTTCAAGAACGGGATGACGCCGACACTCTGGCCGCAGGACGTCCCGTTCCCGCCGGAGGAGGGCAAGGAGGAGGTGGCGTCGACGTTCGGCGACACGGACACGCAGTCGGGCGCGTTCAGCCCGGCGCCGGACGCGAACTCGATCCAGTACCCGGCGTACTTCAAGGACCCGAAGGGCGGCAACCACGCGGTATTCGGCGCGGGCGGGACCGGCAGCTTCGGCGCCCTCCAGTACATCAAGCAGCAGGGCGGCAGCAAGAGCTGCCTGCCGGACGTGATACAGCACGGCCGTTCCGCGGGCATGCCGCTCTACGTGCGCTGCCCGATATGCCAGAAGGAGTTCAAGCAGAAGTCGACCCTGCTGCAGCACGGCTGCATACACATCGAGTCCCGGCCGTATCCTTGCCCGGAATGCGGCAAGAGGTTCAGGCAGCAGTCCCACCTGACCCAACACCTGCGCATCCACACGAACGAAAAGCCGTACGGCTGCGTCTACTGCGGCCGGAACTTCCGCCAGCGCACCATCCTCAACCAGCATCTGCGCATCCACACCGGCGAGAAGCCGTACAAGTGCCAGCAGTGCGGCAAGGACTTCCGTCAGAAGGCGATACTGGACCAGCACACGCGCACCCATCAGGGCGACAGGCCGTTCTGCTGCCCGATGCCGAACTGCAGGCGGCGTTTCGCGACGGAGCCCGAGGTCAAGAAGCACATCGACAACCACATGAACCCGCACGCGGCGAAGGTGCGCCGGAACTCGAGCAGCGACACCAAACCGCCGGGCACGCCGGCCGGTCTGGGCCCGGTCCCCGTTCCAAGGGGCCTGACGCCGACGGTGGTCAAGCCGGAGCTGTACTTCCCGCAGTGTTACGCGCCCGCGTTCAACCATCAGCCGCCGGTGTCGACGGCGCAGTTCCCCGGCCAGGCGAACGGCGTGTCCGTCGCCGGCGAGTTCAAGCCGCCAACCGGCCTGCCGCCCCAGTGACTAACCGTCCATCCTGCCGCCTACTAGCAAGCAGGAATACCGCTGAGGTTTCAGCGATGCTTCGGTCACGCGTTACAGGCCGACGCCGGGACGGCGTCGAGCGTCGCCGCGTCCCACCGATGCGCCACCACCAGCCAGCAGCCGATCCAGCAACACTACCCGTGACATTCACCGTGCATTTAATAGGGTCTTTCTTTTCGTTACCTTTCCGCGGTCCCCCCGCTGCTTTCCGCGTTCGCGCGGCGCCGAGTGCCGAGCAGCAACGTTCTCGCGGCAGATAGTCCCGGGAGCTCGACGGTCGCCCCCGGCGTTTCGCGTCTTCTTCGTTGTCTTCTTCCTTCCGCGTCGAGGCGGACACCTCGACGGTGTGCAATAATAAATCGTTGTGTAGGGGCGTTTCATTTGCGTGGTTACCGTTCTCGACGCACACGTCCCCCCCGTCTTTCGTCTTCCAGCCGCGACCCGTTCCCGGTCGCCGCAGCTCGCCGGACCCTGTCCACCGATAACCGTTATCGTCCCTCTCGATCGCCCCCCCGACGTCGCCCGGCGAATACTCTTCCGCGTGGAAGGATGCGCGCCGCTGCCACCCGGGACGAGATTCGGCCGATCGCTCGAGATCCTTTCGCGAGAGATAAGAACGAGACTCTCCTCTGCCGTCCTCGCGACGCGACATCTCGCTCGTGTCCCCGTGAAACGGTGACCGTGACTGCCTGCAGGTTTGGCCTCGAACTTCGCGAGGAGCGACGGAAAGGGGATCGGCGGACGGTAAGCGGACGATCGGTCGATTTCTCGTTCTGGGTGGACCCGGCCGCCGGTTAGGAATGCGATAGATCGAACGATTAACGGCCGCGGTCCTGCGAGCTGACGCTGGACGAGGAAGGACGGCGGGACAGGATATCGTTGCCCGTGGTTCCGTCGAGCTCGTCGGCCGACCGGCCGAAGAACAGGTGCGTATCAAAGCCAACGAAGAGTTGCCCCGTCTATTACCCTCGATACGTATTTTTTTATATTGCGACGAATTGTGACCGTGTCATCGACGCGCGTGTACGGTGCGTTGACGAGCGAACGGCGCTTCGGGGAGACGGGGATCCAATCGGTCGAACACGTCCATTTTCATACTTATTTTCAGCTCTAGCTCGCTAGCCGCTGAAACCGTCGCACATTGTAATTGGTCATACTAATTCGTTCGCGTCAAGATGAAAACGAATCGGCTTTCAATGCACCGGCAGTCCACAGTCGCGCTCTTGAGTCCTCCCAGGCGCCGACCGTTCGTCAACGCACGGCACAGCTTCTCCGCGAGAGTTCTCGTCTCACGCGAGGACGAACGATTCGGGCAAGCTCGAGAGGGTTTCGGTGGTTCGGGGACAAGCCCGAGCTCGTCCGGGGACGCGACACGCTCCCGAGATGCGAGCAGACTGCGACACTTGCCGAAGAGGAGACACACAGGGGAGGAGCAGAGGAAAATTGACAAACGATTGTGATACGATATTTAACTTGCCTATGTTTAAAGAAGCAAAATGAAGGGACAAGAAGAAAGAAGAAGATGTAGAAGCAGAAGAAGAAGAAGGAGAAGAAGAAGACGAAGAAGAATGGGGAAGACACCCGATGGGAGAAAGATACCTCTAGATGGGAGGTGAACACACGACCACGAGAAGAATGTCTGTAAATATGTAAAGCCGTTCCGA